AAAGTAAAGCAATGTTGTAGACATTGATTACATTCATGATCAAATGGAACAACTTTATAGGCAAAAGGTACCTCTTTACCCCTTAACTTTTCGAATTTGAAGGTTTTTACCTTCCATATTACAATACATGAATTTTTACCCTTAATATTTTCGAATTTGAGGAAATGAGGTAAAATTTAACGTCAAACAATCACGTGCTACATGTACATCGTTATTTCCGTTATAAATTTACATGTTAGCACCAATTTAAATATTTTTTAACATGTCAGCAAATCCACCTCGGATTCTTTCCAACAAATTTTTTTTTTCCTCCCTTTCCTCTTTTCCTTTCTCTTTCTTCAACCCCTGCAAATCCAAACATCTCAACTAATCTCTACCTTTCTGGCTTCATCATCATCAATTAACAAAACTCACAAAACAAAAAAAAACAAAAAAAAACTTTTTTAATTTTCAGCCACTGGGTTCCTTCGAACCCAACGATGGGTTCCTTGGGTTCCTTCAAACCCATCGTTGGGTTCCAAGGAACCCAGTCACTAGGTTCCTTCGAACCCCAGGGCTTGGGTTCAGTATATTCTATCATTCCCCCCTTTCTTCTTTCCCTTTCCTCTCAAGATTCTTGTGCTTTAGTATATTCTATCTGGGTTTTTAACAGATCTTGCTCGTGTTTAGTGAGTTTTGTATGGGTTTTGTGTTTGTTTGCTGGGTGTTTGTTATTGAATCGAAAACTCATGAGAGAAGGATGGTTGGTGTTTTTGGCTTGATTTGATGTTGTTGATTTATATTATGTTTTAATCTTGCTATGGTTTGTGGTCTGGATTTTTGTTTTGTTGTTTGATGATGATGATGAAGCCAGAAAGGTAGAAATTAGTTGAGATGTTTGGATTTGCAGGGGTTGAAGAAGGAGAAAGGAAAAAAGGAAAGGGAGGAACAAAAATAAAAAATTTTGTTGGAAAGAATCCGAGGTGGATTTGCTGACATGTTAAAAAGTATTTAAGTTGATGCTGACATGTAAATTTATAACGGAAATAAGATGCACGTGTAGCACGTGATCGTTTGAAGTTAAATTTTACCTCATTTCTTCAAATTCGAAAATATTGAGGGTAAAAATTTATGTATTGTAATATGGAAGGTAAAAACCTTCAAATTCAAAAAGTTAAGGGGCAAACGGGTACCTTTTGCCCAACTTTATATGAGAAAAAAAAAAGAAAAAAAAAAAGAAAGAAGAAAGGCATTCCATTCTGTTTGGTGGGATGGACTTTGGACAAGACGCCGGCCGCCTTTTCCTCCAAAAAGAAAAAGATGAGATGCCAGCCAAGCAAGCGAAGCTGCAAAAGCATTA